ACATATCAACAGTTTGATATTTTGGAGACACAAGCAGAAGGAATTCAAAATGTTGGGTGTACAGAAAGAGATCTTATTAACTATGAGCGTGATATGAGGGAAAACTCAAGGGTCATGACGCAAACATGATACTTTTTATCAGAAAAAGAAAAGAATCCTTCTTTCTTTTTTGAGATTGACACTGATGAGAATGATAGAATCAATCAATGTTTTTGGGTTGATCCACATGCAAGGAAGGTGTATAACTTTTTTTAATGCTGTGGTTGTGTTTGATATGACATACAACACAAATCATTATAGCATGATATTTGCTCCACTTGCAGGAGTTAAACACCATGGAAAGATAATCATTTTTGGATTTGGTTTTTTAAGTGACGAGACTATTGAATCATTTGTGTGGTTATTTGAAACATGGCTCAAAGCAATGCCAAGGGTTCGCCAAATGTTATTATCACTGATCAAGACCCAAAAATGGCAAAGGCTATATCTCAAACTCTTCCACACACCCTTCATAGATATTGTATCTGGCACATATTAAGAAAATTTCTAGAGAAGTTAGACTCAATAATGTTCCGAGATCACTATTGCCTTTATCAAGCATCCATATGGAAATCAGAGACAATTGAAGAATTTGAAGAAAGCTGAAAAAATGTATTGGAAAAAGTGGACAGCAAAGTAATGATTGGTTGAGAACGATGTATGCATTACGTGATAAGTGGTTTCCTGCATATGTCAATAAGTTTTTTTCTACTTGAATGTTTAGTAGCCAAAGAGCAGAAAGCGCATACTCATTCTTCAAGAATTATTGCTCAAAAAATAATTAATTAATTGATTTTATTATAAGATTTAATAGAGCTTTAGGACACTATTGTGAGATTTATATGTACCACTCGCAAGTGCACGAATCTTTGCAGATAGGGTTTACTTGTAAGGGTGTTATACCCAAAGGACTTGGATCGATCTCTTCTTTCTTCTGACTGCTCCTCTCTGATCTCAGCCTCAAGCTCCTCCGTATGATGATTCAATGTTGTAGAGGTCCCCCCTTTAAATAATAAAAGATCAGCCCTAAGGTTCCCTTTTTCATATAGGAGACATACATAGAAATTCTGTCAAGTAAGGACTCTAAAATTTGTGCAGACTTCCAAGCCAATTTTGACAAGGTAAATAGCTGTTTTAGGGAATCCTTGTGATATACAAAATTGTAGCTCTTCGAATTTTCTTTCAACCTACGCGGGAATTTAGCCGTTTTGACACTCGAGGAGAGAGATACAACCAGATTACCAAAACGGGTTTAAGTTACCAACTTCGGTGAAAGTTTCCTTTTTGGCGAAGGAGTTTTCCTTTTCTTCTTCTTTCCATTCTCATCAACTTGTGGCTTCTTTTGGAATATTTTCTAAGTATAATTAGACTTGGATCTTCAACATTGCTCGATCCCATGAACAGTCATCTTTTAAAGCTCAGAATTACTGGTCTTGACTGATTTTACAATTAAAGTCCTGAAATAAATAAAAACAATAAAATAATATAAAATCACAAATAAAATATTATTAAGAGAATAAAACATACGAATAGAGGGGCTAAAATGTATAACATTCAGCGCCTAACACACCCCCAAACTTACATATTGCTAGTCCCAGAGCAATAAAACTAAAGAAAATATAAATGCCACTTTCGTGGGAATCACGATTGCATTTAGCGTATGTAACAAGCCTTTTAAACCCCTAGGTTACCCCTAGTGGATGAGTGAAATCTCGTGAGGGTTTCCAGAGATGATACCCACAAACATACAGCACAATTCAATCCCCTGGCAATCAACTCATTCTTATATTATCATAATAATCAAGGAGAAGACTACACAAAAGTACTTTAAAAATTATCATCTAACTATACTCTTTTGTCCCTATTTTCATACTTCATCCCAATATTTCCCACACACTTATATAATAAGAACAATAGCAAAATCAATCCCCAATGTTGTGAAATTTGTGAACTAGCAAATCACCTATGTAGCAATGTCTTTTCAATTGAACCCAATATTTACAACTTTAATTCCTCAGATCTTTTCTCAAGTTATTTTCTACGGCAAAATATTATTTTTTTCTTTTTCTTTCTTTTTTTTTTTTTCTTTATCCTTACCCCCATTTCTTCATGCGACACCCATAGATAAAATTTTAGTGTGCGTGTGAAATCCATCAGGGACCGACAATACTAAAATTCCTATCACACTAGATAGTGGAACCCACATAAAATAAAGCATGAAAATTAGGGATTCAAGACAATCTCAGAAAAGAATTTTTAAAAAGTACTTAAGTGTCTTAATCTCCACAATCATTCTCGAATACTTGAATTAAAGTCAATATGCCAAAGAAAAAGAATTGATTTTTTTTTTTATTATAAATATTTCTAATTTTAAGTTTAATTTGTTTGTTAATATATATATATATATATATATATATATATATATATATATATAACAACTAGAGTATTTTAATACAACTAGAGTAAATGTTGTGCCCCCAAACTTGAATTGGACAGTGTCCTCACTGGGCAAAAATCAAAAGTAAGAAAAATAAGAACTAAAAAGAAAATAAAAACAAATAACAAAAGCACCTGGCAGGGTAGCGAGAATGGAGATGGCAGAGCATCGGAATTAAGCCCGTTATGAATCATAAGAGTGCACATCTTGTCCATCATCGATCTTCAATCCTGACAAATCATCCTTTGGTCCTCAAGAATTTCTTGAACTTCAGCTTGGAGTTGGGTCACCTCACCAACCAAGTAATCAGGTGTTCATCAATGTCATCAGCGGCAGCTTGGGTAGGAAATATTCTAATGGGGTAGGAAAGGTGGTGATTATGGTTGTGATTGTAGGGAATTATAATGGATTATGGTAAGATGGAAGGAATTTGGTGGTGGTTTATGTAGAGATGGAATATGGTAATTTGGAATGTAAGGATAATGGGTTTAGGTAATTTGATGTTGTGGTAGGCAGTGGAAAAAAATTGCACCATGAGATAAGCAACAATTATAGTGCAGACTTTACCTGATGAATTTCATAACCCAACAATCGATGAATAAACAATCACCCAAATAATACCCGTTAACAAAATCACGAACTCACTCAGTTGCAATCACCACCCACAAATTATAATTCAGTCAAGTGCAACAACCCAATCAACCACTAAATAGCAACCAAACTCCCACAGTCACCACAAGTAGCAACCCCAAACTTTTGTAATTAACAATCCCAATCCAAACACTCCAGTCACAAATTTGGATCACTGTGCTCATAACCCAAAAGTTCATAAAACACTCACAAGCCATCATCTCTCTGTAATGAATCAATCAATTTATTAACACCCATAGATAATTATGCGGATCCTTTGTAAAACACCAAATTCGCAATCCCAATTCAGCCACTGTAATTGACGCTGTAATCAACAACCAAACCATTCCGGCCAGAGAAAAAACCAACCACCGCTGCTATTCCAGGCGCTGTTGTTACTTCTTCCCAATGAGTCGCCAGAGGCGACCATCTGAAACGATGTTCTTTCACCCGGGCAATGGTTTGTAGTTATCGCCGAAAGAAATTTCCTAGCGATGGTCGCCGTGAAGCTGGGCGAATGAGCGCCAGGCGCTGGTACATGATATTTGTGTGGCTGGGCGATGGTCACCGCCTTGCCGGGCAATCATTCGCCCGGCAACCACTGTCCTCTTCATCCCTGAGTCGCCAAGAGCGACTGTCACCTCCAAGCCGGGCGATCATGCGCCCAGCACTGCTACTTCCCCGAAAAAAATCATACCTGGGCGATGGTCGCCCATGGGCCGGGCGATCATTCGCCCGGGCCTGCTGCTGGGTTGGATCTTTCTCTTTTTTTTTTTCTTTCTTTTTTTTTTTTTCAAAATGCAAACTTTAAATGACCATAACTTTGTCATCGGAAGTCCGTTTTGGACGATTTTTTTTTTTTCATTTTGGGTATTTTTTCAAGATCTACGCGATGCAAACCCCCTTAGGCGGTTTGGTTGATGTTTGGACCCCAAAAAAAATGCTTTATTCTGCTCCAATCATCCTTTTTTTTTCTTTTTTCTTTGTACGCCATAGAATTTTTTTATTTTTTTCGAAACAAGCACGACTTGTATCCTGCACAAGTAACTAAAAATCCTACGAAACACATTAAATCTTCCTAATCTACTAAAATAAAAGATAAAATTAAAGAGAGAAAATAATAATAATAATAATAAATAAATAAAATTACATAAATGAAAATCCTATCTACAATTCCTACAGTTAACGTTGATAGGCGATGTGGTACCTGGATGATTTAAGCGGAGTAAATGGGATCCGTCAAATTGACGGATTCAACTCCTTCCGTAGGCACGGAATCTTCAATGTACCAATCCTTCCGATCCTGTTGAACTGTCTTCTTTCTTGACGCCTTCCAATTCCTAATATCAGCATACCATGGTGAAGTCTCTTTCTGAAGTTGAAATAGCTGCTTATCTGAGAATGAATTATGCAATGGAAGAGTGTTTTCTGGCCCAAGATATGCATTCTTCAAATGAGAAGGTAACGACTTCAGCTCTAGCTCTGGTGGAGACTTTAAAGATGGCGTAGGTGGTTCACTTGACAATGGTAAAAGTGGCTCAATAGGAATTTTCCATGGTGGAATGTTATGCATATTGGCTCCATCACGAATGACATTTACATCTTCAATATTTTTCTCAACATCAAATGACTCAGCATCAAAGTAAGACAGGCATGCTTCCAGTGGATCTTTTGTCAAGGCAAATGGGGCCATCTCTTCAACACATTCATCGATGGAATTGACAAGAAAACAATCCTTATCATCTGAAGGGCAATTACTGGCGTTGAAAATATTTAAGCACAACTTCATATTGCCAAAAGATAAGTCCATGACGCCATTATTGCAATTTATGCTTGCATTTGCTGTCGCAAGGAAAGGACGACCAAGGATCACTGGAATGTGCTTTCTTGACTCTTAAACTGGCTCGATATCTAGCACAATAAGGTCCACTGGGAAGTAGAATTTATCTACTTTGATGATCACATCTTCGATGACACCACGAGGTTGTTTGGTTGACCTATCTGCCAATTGGAGAATAGTGGAGGTAGGCTTCAATTCTCCTAGTCTGAGTTGCAAGTAAACCGAATAAGGAAGAAGATTTACACTTGCACCCAAATCTAAAAGAGCCCGTTTTACTTAATGATTCCCTATTGTGCATGAAATTGTTGGAGCGCCTGGATCTTTGAATTTTGGAGTAGTGTAGTGCTGGATTATGGAACTGACTTGCTCAATTAATAGCACCTTCTTAGGAATATGGCTACTTGAATGCTTCTTTTGAGTACACATATCTTTCAGAAATTTAGCATAAGCTGGAATTTGTTGAATTGCATCCAGCAATGGGAGATTAATCTTCACCTGTTTGAACATCTCCATTATGTCCTGAAGTTCGCTTGCTTGCTTTGCTGCCTTTGATGTTTCTTGTAGTCTCCGAGGGAATGGCATAACAACATGCCTTTGTTCTGGAGATGGCTCAGTAGTTGGAGGTACTTCTTGTGCTGTTTCATTCCGCTCATTTTTCTCTTCAAGTCTGTTCTTCCAATTTTCATCCTTCTTTGCTTCTTCTTCCACCTTATTTTCAACTCTCTTACCACTTCTCAGAGTAGTAATTGCTTGCACTTGTTCATGGTGAACTTCTTGGCCAGTAATGTCATTAATTATACGCACACCTCTTGGATTAGCTACTAGTTGAACTTCTTGGCCAGTAATGTCATTAATTATACTGCACAAGTTGATTAGTTGGCTTTAACTGCTTTACCATCATTGCCTCGAGCATTGATAAGAATTGTTGAGGTTGACTGAAGGCATTCATAGGAGTGCACCCTTGAGAATTTGAAGTCTGAACTTGAGATTGAAAATTGCCTTGTACCTGAGGTACTTGAGGTGGAGGAGCTAATGTCCCTTTAGCTGGATTTCTTTATGAGAAGTTTGGAGGGTTTCTCTAAGCCGGATTGTAAGTGTTTGACTACATATTATTCCCTCCGGGCATTTTATAGGCAACATTAACTTGCTCCTATGAAATTCCTGAATACTGAGTTGCACTTGGACAAATGGACACATGGTGAGTTGGACTAGAACAGAAAGAACACACTTCAAATCTTTGAATATGAGTCGCAGGAGGAGTAAAATTTGACTATGAAGTCATTAATTGATCTATCCTCTTAGTTAATGCCTCAATTTGGCTCACTAGCCCTTGATTTATTCCTGCTTCATTCACACTTTCTGCTCTCCTCAATATGGTAGGAGGTCTTGCTACGGGAGGTAAGACATGTTATGTTGAATTATCAGATATATTTTCGAAGAGCTGTCATGCTTCCTCTACACTCTTCAACAACAAATTTCCACCACAAGAGGCATCCACCATATACCTTTGTGCCTCATTGAGCCCCTTATGAAAGAAGTTGACAAGCTTCCATTTTGGCATGTCATGATGAGGACACTTCTGAAGGAGGTCTCTAAATCTTTCCCAAGCCTCATGAAAAGGCTCATCAGGCCCTTGAGCAAAACGAGTAACAGCATCTCGATATTAAGTAGTTCTCACTATGGCAAAGCACTTGTTCAAAAACTTCTGTTGCATTTCAGTCCATGTAGTGATGGTGTCGGCTGGCAATGAATTAAACCAGTCCTTCGCCTTGTCCTTTAATGAAAAGGAGAAAAGGTGTAGCTTGAGCACATCATCGTCAAAACTCTGGATTTTTATTGTTCTGCACACCTCTATAAAGTCATCCAAATGACGATATGGATCCTCTTTTGATAGGCCTGGTGCGACCGAGCGTGTGCACAAAATAATGCACAAGACTTTAGGTTTAGAAATAATGTCAAGTGGGCACCATATTTTAAAATTTATAAAACCACTAAACACTTATACTATGGAGTATGAAGTGAGCAGGGATCGTCCCAAGAGATCTAAACAATTATAGGTTTTCCAGAATTGAATTCTACTTTAGTGCTTATGTGATTGCCAAAAGGGTTTTGTTTGTGATTAAAACTAATTTTAAACTAAATGATTGCAATAAAGAAATAGAGTTTAAGAGATTGGAAAGAGACTTAGGGTGTAGGATTCACCACTAAGCACATTCCCTAACTCACTCACTTTCAACTAATTGGGGAAATAATACTATGTAATCTATATGTGGCTAACAAGAGCAATGAAAAGTGTAAACCATCAATTTCAAGCATGAATCAACTACCTAATGACAATTAAACTAAGTGTAGTGCAATTCACCCATTCAAAGCATGATTTATCAATCCAAGTTACAAATTTAACACACATTAATCTAGAAGATAATGCAATTGTGACAAAAAGTATGGAATTCAAACATAAGTATGGATGGTCTACTTACCTAATAATTGAATTGCAATTAAATTAATTAAACTTAAATTAAACTAATTAAACATGAATTTTAAAACTAATTAAACAACAAATTAACCTAAACATGTAGTACCATCCATCAAATGTAAGCATTTTTCATCAATTTGAAACACAATTACTACTAAGCAATACCATGCATAGCCATCACAAGAATCAATTAACAAAGAATTCATGTGTAAAATTTGTTTATCAATCAACCGCACATAAGACAATATGAGATTAATACAGATAATCAATTGGAAGAATTTAATTCATAATATTCAAGACTATACACTAATTACATAAATTAATCCCCAAAAAGTATGAAAAGAGAGAGAGAATAGGTTACATGCTTAGGGTTTATCCAACCCTAAGTAAAAGAATCAGCCACTCATGGTTGATGGAGTCGAAGATAGGACAATCCCCATCATCTGCTTCATCTTCTCTGAACTTTTCTTCCAAACCCTAGCCTGTTCTTCTTTTTCCCTTTCTTCGCGTATTTTTCCAGAGAGAAAATACGATACTACGATACAGAAAAAAAATAAAATAAAACTTTTTTTTTTTTTTCTCTAATAATCTTTACCTAAATAAAAACTAAAACTAACCCTAATCTAATGGCTCACTGGGCCTTAAGTAACAATCTCATTAAAGCCCAACAGTTCCCAAAATGAGCCCAAAAATTAAATAAAAACTGTAATGTTGCTAAGTCCTGGGGGATCGATCCCCCACCCTGGGGATCGATCCCCTCAGAGTTGACAAATTCCTTTAAGCCTTATTCAGCTCCATTTTTGCCCCGGGCTATTTGGTTTGCTTCTCCATCTTTGGGAACATCATCAAAGGCCCGAAATTGACCGCTTTGTGCCATTGTCTGAAAATCTTTGCTTAACTCCAAAATGGCTTAATTGGACTGTTCTTAGCTCATTTTAACTTTATTGCCCTGAAATACACATAAACATAAATTAGGACTAAAATATAAAATTAAGATAGATGCAAAGACTGAAATACCTTAGCTTAGGTGCTGAAATGTGCAACATTTAAGCACTTATCAAGGCCATAAAAAGAAGGCAGTAACTGAAGAGTACTGGCCTTAATTTCGTAGTGAGGGGCCCTCACTTGAGGATACCGAACTGCAGATGAAGAGTTATGTGCACCTGGTTCGTAGTGATCCTTTAAACAACGAACTGCTTCTGCAATTGGTAAATCATCCGCCATCTTTTCTTTCTTTAAGTTTCTGAGAGTTCTTTCAATTTCTGGGTTTAACGGAAGCTGAGAGAGTGACAAAGAACATCTTCCAAGCATATAATGTCACCTATAAAAATTAAAAGAAAACAATATCAAAATAAAGAAATAAATTAAATTGAATTAAATTAAATTTAAATCCTAAACTAAGATCCTAATTGAAATTAATTGTAGAATTTAATATTATCTGTCAAGATCTAAAACAAATCCCCGGAAACGGAGCCAAAAACTTGTTGTGAGATTTATATGGACCACTCGCAAGTGCACGAATCTTTGTAGATAGTGTTTACTTGTAAGGGTGTCGTACCGACTTGTGTAAATTAAGTTTGTCAACAGATTTCTTAAATTCCAAAATTAACTTGAAAGTAGGATAATCGAATTGTGATGATTAATTCTAAATTAATTAAGTAGAAAAATAAAATAAACTAAAGAATAATGATTAAATATGATTTAGAAAATAGAGAGAGAGAGGACTAGGGGTATGACTTCACCACTAACGTCGCACCACCAGTTAATTGCATCAATTTATTAGAGATATATCATACACATGCATAGGGAATTAATTATGGCTACAAGCACATATTAATTCAACTAGAAAATAATATAATTTAAAGCTAAGTATGGACTATCTTTGATTGGTATAAACCATCTACCTATCTACTTTACTCTAGGGTGTAGCATGGTCTATTTTTTCTAGGCATAATCTATCAAATCTCTAACATTTTATTCAGAGAAATACCATTGTGTAATCATCTCATTCACAACTAGAAGAAGTGAATGAGTTGTGTTCAATCACAAGATTTAAAATATTTAAGACAAGATAGAAAAATATTTGTAATTGAATTAAAACTCTAAAACCGATTCTTATTGAAAAGTCAATTAAAAATCCTATAGATTACACAATCATGCATGATAAAAATTGTTCTCCAATAATTAAATACAATCAAACCAGTGTGCTAAGCTAGGGCTACACCACAACCCTAGCAAAGCGTTTAGCTAAGTATGACTGGGGTGGAATTCTTCATGGTTGAGGAAGACATCTTCACCGCCATGGATCGATCTCTTCTTTCTTCTGACTGCTCCTCTCTGATCTCAGCCTTAAGCTCCTCTGTATGATGATTCAATGTTGTAGAGGTCCCCCCTTTAAATAATAAAAGATCAGCCCTAAAGTTCCTTTTTTCATATAGGAGACATACATAGAAATTCTGTCAAGTAAGGACTCTAAAATTCGTGCAGACTTCCAAGCCAATTTTGACAAGGTAAATTGCTGTTTTAGGGAATCCTCATGAAATACAAAATTGTAGCTCTTCGAATTTTCTTTCAACTTGCATGGGAATTTAGCCGTTTTGACACTCGAGGATAGAGATACAGCCAGATTACCAAAACAGGTTCAAGTTACCAACTTCGGTGAAAGTTTCCTTTTTGGCGAAGGAGTTTTCCTTTTCTTCTTCTTTCCATTCTCATCAACTTGTGACTTCTTTTGGAATATTTTCTAAGTATAATTAGACTTGGATCTTCAACATTGCTCGGTCCCATGAACAGTCATCTTTTAAAGCTCAGAGGTCTTGACTGATTTTACAATTAAAGCCTTGAAATAAATAAAAACAATAAAATAATGTAAAATCACAACTAAACTATTATTAAGAGAATAAAACATACAAATAGAGGGGCTAAAATGTGTAACATTCAGCGCCTAACAGACACCTAAGACATGAAGAGGTCATTGATGATCATGTTGATGTCAATGAACAACCAAAATTGAGATCTAAAGTGCCTATTGTAATACTTCTAAATTTTTCCATGGTTTTATTTATTTATTTTATTTCATTTTAATTGTCTATGTGGCTATGTGAACTATTATTTATTTATTTATTTTTATTTTTATTTATCTATGTGGCTATTTGAATTGGTTGTGCATTTCTTTTAGCAATTTATTTATTTATCATTCAAATGTTAAGTATTTAGTGTTTATTTTATTTTATTTATTTATGTACTTGGTTATTTGAACTATTGGTGACATTTTGTTTTGGAGTGTTTATTACTATTTTTAATTATTTAGTAATCTTTGTCTTTACTAATTATTTATTTAATTTTAATTATTATGAGTAACATAGGTATTTTTATATATTTTATTTACCTGTAGCTTTACATTAATTATGTGATTATAGGATTGTTTTTTTTCTTAGTTAGTTTATACATATATATATATATATCTAAAGGAGTATTGGTGGCAATCGTGTGTCTTTAGTATTGGGGTGATGTGGTTTTAGTTTTAGGCCTGTTAGTGGGTTCTAATTGAGTTAGGTTAGATATATTATTATATATAATTGTTAAGTCAGTAAAGTTTGGTATTGAAAAGCAATGTAATAGAGAGAGAAACCAGAGAGCGGCGGCGAGAAAGAAAGAAAGAAAAGAGAAGAAAAGAAAGAGAGAGAAAGAAAGAGAGAAAGAGGAAGAGAGGAAAAAGGGAAATCGGAGTGCGATCCAAAATTTATAAAAAGGTAAGTCCTTGTTCTATTCATTCTCTTTGACTTCATGTTCGGTCCATCTCTAGAAGGATTTTAGGGTTTAAATTTTAATAATAGAAGTTATTTTGATCACATGATTAAATTGGGTATGCTTTTCTATCTATTTTCGATGAATAAAGTTGTTGTTTCTTGAATGATTCTTGAGTTTTGGGTGTTTTAGTCATGGACTGTTTCGGCACTTTGGGATTTAGATATGGGTTTTAGGGGCTTAGCTATATAATTTCAGAGAATTGCAGGGCTTCAGATGGAAGGATGAGGGATAAGGTAGGAAGAAGCTGACTTAGAATTCGGCTTAGTTGAAGGGGCAGTCGGCTTGGCCGATTTGGTAATTGGGGATTGGTATATATATATATATTTTTATTTATTATGTTTGGGCTTTGCATAATGTTCAATAAGGACTCATGTGTTCGGATCAGTTGGCACTTATATATACAAGCTGTTTAAGTTTCCTAACAGGAGAGTGCTTTTTTTTTATTTTTTTTATTTTTTTATTTTTTTATTCTTAAGTTATGGTCTATATAACATAGTCTTTGCTTGATTTTTGGAGTCAATTAAATGTTGACTATTAATGCTTACTTGAAAGGTAACTACTGTAATACTATTAAAGTAATATAATGGATTTTTTTTTTTAGATTTCAAGTTATTAATTTAATGTATATTAAAGGCTTACTTTGTCTTGAAAAATTATTGTAGAGGATAATGTTTGTTATTCGTTCAGGAAGTGATAAATGACTTTGTTTGTATTTTAAGTTATTAGATGTATCAAGACATGAAGCAATAGTTTTCGTAGGCAGGTATGAAGAGGGATATGGCTATCTTTGTCTCCAAGTGTAGTAACTATCAAATGGTCAAGACTGATCATTAGAGACCGTCTGGTGCTTTACAGCTACTTCCTATACTGGAGTGGAAATGTGTGATACCCCTCGGATCCGAGACACGGGTTGATCAGGCCCAGGCCCAAACCCGAGGGAATATCAAACAATTAATATTTTATAACGAACACGGAATACAAAATGAATTAAGAAATGAAGTTTAAAGCTGAAAAGAAAACTAAAAGAAAATCCTTAAATAATTAAATACTTAAATTTGATAAAACAAATATCCATAATTTGAACAACTCGGGAATCCATCTCCAGTGGACCCCTAATAAAAATCTCACACTGAATGAAAGTAAAATGAAAGATAAAATCCAAATCCAAGATCTGGAAAGAAATCCTACATTGTCGGTAGAATGGAAGATCGTCTCTGCACAGCACGAACAAGCTCAAGCCTAGAACTGACGTACACCTAAAAAATAGGAGTGGGTCAGGCCCACGAACAAGTTCTATCCTACTACAATCCAAGCAGAGACTCGATACGCATGTACATACTAAATAGTTCAACAATAACTAATAATCCGTACATAAATATATCCACACTACTGGACTCTCGCTAGGCCATGAAGGGGGTCTCAACCTGGATAGAAGGCATCACACAATACGCACCTGAGTGGGTATGAGTACCTAAACCTAAACAGGGTATACCTCAACCTTCACAGTCAGCTACACATCCAACTGCATATACGCACCCTAACCGTCGACACTGAGACTCAAGCTCATGACACGGTAACATAAAAATATATCTAAACTCCGTTTCTATCCATCCACAAGAAATCCAGTAAGTCACTCGGTGTATTCAACCGTACCGACTTATATATATAAGGAGGATTGTATTTTATAACCCGTGCCCTTACTCCAAAATAGGTAGGACTTAGCAATTTGAGCTAATCCAAACCTAGTATGTCACCGTCCCATACCGGTACATACAATCCAATCCGTCCAATAGTTGATAAAGCATCGTTAATAATAACAACAATATCAACAATTCCATACTAAACATAATAGAATGCATTAGCAACCATTCTTAAAAATACCAATAATTGATTCACATTGAAAATATAAATATCAATGTCAACTACTCCTTACTATGCATATTGAAATAGATAATCAACATACTTATTTACATTCACAGTTGATAAAATAATGACCATATAAATGTCAATACCAACAGTTCCAAACTAAACATGTTAGAACAGATTAACAAACATGCTTAAGTAAGCTAATTCAGAATCCATAATTTGATCATACAGGGCTTTATTTGTAATTATGACCTATTCCCAGTTTCCATAGAATTAACAGAGCCTAAATAGATATTTTCCCACTCAAATCTATAGCATGCAAAATAAATATAAGTAATCTATTATACTTATAGTTTCCTGTCCAACAACTTGCCGCACTAACCGTTAAATTTAATCATCAACTAATTTTCAGTGAAATATAAATTTTTAGCATAATTTCTATTTCCATGAACATATAATTCGAGTGGACAAGCTCTCACAGAAAATTTCTAATATAATTAAGAAATTAGAAACTCCAAATCCACACAGTCTACAAGACATTCGTAATT